TCCACACTGAGGAGGGAGGTCCATGTTGGGGGTGGGTCCACGCTGGGGGGAGGGTTCACACTGAGGGTGGGTCCACGCTGGGGGTGGGGTGAAGGGAGTCTGCAGCGCGCCCCTCCCGCAGTGTGGCCGACGCCCCCCTGCCCCTCCCCAGGCTGCGAGATGAACGTGCACCGTCGCTGCGTGCGCAGTGTGCCCTCGCTGTGCGGTGTAGACCACACGGAGCGGCGCGGCCGTCTACAGCTGGAAATCCGGGCGCCCACCTCGGATGAGATCCATATCACAGGTGGGCCGGCCCCCTCCCTCCCCGCCTTACCCCCGTCCTTTCAGAATTCACCCAAGGCCTGGTTCCCCCCCCCTCCCCCATGGCGGTAGCTTTGCGCGCTGGGTCGTGTTTGATGGGGTGCGCATGGCGTCGCTATGAAGCATAGGTGACCCGGTGGCACCTAACAATTAAAGGCATTCTGGTGGCGCAGTGCATAGTGTGTCGGGCTTCCAAAGGAAAGGTCAGAGGTTTGAATCCGCTAGGAGCTTCTTGGCTGGCACTGTGGGTACAGTACTATGGTTCCTCTTGGTCATATGGGGTGAGTTCACACTCCTGGGCACCTGTGTGGGGTTGACTTCGGAGTGCCCTTTCATCCAGCCTGGAGGGGTAATAGTGGACTCTGGGGTCCTCATTTGGAGAGAAGGTAGCTTGCCAAGACTCCTGGGTTCTTAGGAAGAAGACAGGAATTTTGTTTGCCATCTGGGGAGACAGCTAACCCCCTTATCTCTCCCTTCAGTTGGTGAAGCCCGCAACCTCATTCCAATGGACCCCAATGGTCTGTCGGATCCCTATGTGAAATTGAAGCTCATCCCGGACCCTCGAAACCTAACGAAGCAGAAGACCCGGACGGTGAAAGCCACGCTGAACCCCGTGTGGAACGAGACCTTCGTGTTGTGAGCCTTGGGGGTGCATGGAGTCTGTTACGGTGGACAGAGGACGATCTGAGGGTCTGGGTGGTCCAGAGGGAAGCTGATGGGAGGTATTAGGGGAGAAGAGAATGATGGAGGGACACCAATGCAGAAGTAAAAATAAACAGGACTTTGCGTGTTTAAAGCTCTTCAGAGACCCCCCACGCTGGGGCATGGCTGTGAAATCGCCTTGGTCCCTGCCCTCCAGAGGTGTCCAAGCTCAGAGCAGGATTTCCAGGCTCCAAAGAGGGCAGTAGCCACACCGTGAGAGCCAGAACTCGACAGCAGAGCTGCCTCTGTCCCCAGAGGTCACCAGTTGCCTGCCTTTGAGAGGGCACTATCACTACTTGGCTAGCCTTCTGTTCAGAGGAAAGTATTTTAGTTATGCAGACAGGTTTCTGCCCCCAAAACTCTGGTGTCTGCAGGTTTTACTACCCTAATTAGTGTCTCCAGGGGAGACACAGAGATGGAGACCCAGGGTGTGGCTGAGATCAGAGACTCAGAGAGAGAGAGATGGAGATGGGGGTTGTGGACATAGAAACACAGATGGATGCAGAGTGAATGGGGACAGGTGTGAACAGGCTGGGAGGACTCCAAAGGGAGGCAGTAAGAGACAGAAGGAAAAACCAGGAGAAAGGAACGAGGGGCAGAGACCTTCACTTGGGGGAGGGGGGACTGGAAGGTGGGAGAGGGACAGAGATTGGGGGGGTGGGCATAAGCACACAGAAAGATGGAAGCCTGGGGCAGGAGGCAGAGACCTTGAGAGAATCTAGAGAAGGAGGTGCAGACAGAGATTCAAGCAGGAAACATAGATGGCGCAGAAAGTGAGAGAGGTTCAGATGAGGAAAGGAGAGAGAGAAGGTTGGAAATAAGGACCATAGAAAGAGCTAATGAAACGAATTGTCATTGTCAGGCGGACACACAGAATCCCAGAGAGGTGGGGAGAGGGACAGAGAGGCTGGGGAAAGAGGGGAGAGAAAAAGGGGAACTGGGTCCAACAGGAAGGGGGAACCCGGCGGCCTCATCGCTGGCCCTACAGCGTGCTCTGTAAGTTACACAGGAGGAGTGGCTGGTGGGTTCGAACCTCTAGAGAGGAATGGCCTTTGGGTTCGCTCCCCACAGACCTGCCAGCAGGGTTCTCTCCTACATGGCCATTGTTGGGCCCCATTGAGCTGGAACCCACTCGTAACTGACCCTCCAGTGGGTTTTCAGAGGCGGCAAATCACGTGGGAAGAGATGGCTCATCTTTCTCCCTGGGGGCAGCTGGGAGTTTCGAACTGGGGACCTTTGCATTGTCAGTGCAGCACCCTACCACTTAGCCACCAGAGCTCAGGAGCGGAGGGATGGGAGAGGGGAACCTATCAGGGTTGTCTAGGTTTGCTTGAGACAAACACAGGGGGCATGACATGCAAGAGTCACTTCAGAGGCCTGAGGACCCCTGCTTGCAAGGTGGATCCCCAAGCTACGGAAGTGAGGTCCCCTCACTGTACCCCGCCTTCCTGCAGTAACCTGAAGCCGGGAGATGTGGAGCGCCGTCTCAGCGTGGAGGTGTGGGACTGGGACCGCACTTCCCGCAACGACTTCATGGGGGCCATGTCCTTCGGGGTGTCGGAGCTGCTCAAGGCGCCGGTGGATGGCTGGTGAGGGATGGGGTGGAGGGACTGGGGCAGAGCCTGGGGTGGAGGGATGGAGCCAGGGCTCAGGCTGAAGGGACAGGGCCAGGGCTCAGGGTGGCTCCTCCAAGGTCTGGGCTTCTTCACTCCTCTCTCTCCCTGGACACGGGACAGGGACGCAGTGGAGGACAGGGGGATGGGAATGGGATGGGGACAGGGCCCAGGGCAGCTCCTGCAAAGTCTGGATGGCCCCACTGCTCTCTGTGTCTTCACTCAGGATTCCCTTCCTCCTCTGCTCTCCCCTCTCCATCTGGGCCTTCCCTCCCCTCCTTCCCCCTTGGCTCCTGCTCCGCCTCCTCTTCCTCTCCTTATTTCACTCTCCCCCCATTCCTTCCTCTTCCCCTCCTTTTCTTCCCACCTCCTTCCTCCTCTCCTAACCCCACCCCTTCTCTCCTTCGCTCTCCTCCTCCTCTCTCACTCTGTCCCACTCCCTCTCTCCTCCATCGTCTTTCCTGCCTTCTTGTTCTCTCCTCTTCTTTGCCTCTTCCTCTTACCCACTCGCCTCCTCCGTATTTTCTCTTTCTGTGTCTCCCCATCTGTGCCCACTTCCCTTCTCTTTCGTGTCCCCTCCACTTGCTCCCTTCTTCCTTCTCCTCGTTTTCTCTGCTCCTTTCAACTCTTCTCGCTCCATCCCCTGTCTTCTTCCTTCTCCTCTCTTTCTCTGTCTGTCTCTCTCTCTCCTCTCCCTCTCCCTATCTGCCTTTCCCTTTCCTTTCTCTCTCCTCTCCCTCCTTCCTTCCCTCTCTCTCTCCTCTTTGTTTCTATCTCTCACTCTGTCCGATTCTCTGTCTGTCTTTCTCCCCCCCCTCCTCATTCCACTCTATTTCTCTGTGTCCCTTACTCCTGCCCCCTTCCTTCTGGACTTCTCTGCCCATCCCTCGGGCGCCCCCCCCACTACTCCTTCCACCCCACTCCTTTCTCCCCACCCCACCTGTCTCTCCGTCTGCTCTGCGTGTTAGGTACAAACTTCTGAACCAGGAGGAGGGGGAGTATTACAATGTCCCGGTGGCTGATGCTGACAACTGCAGCCTCCTCCAGAAGTTTGAGGTACTCAGACACCATCCCCCTCCCCCAGCTTCCCCTGGGGTGCTCTGCCCAGCTTTTGAAGCCCAGAACCTATCTCATCCACCACCCAGTGATACCTGTTGCTACTGGGACTACAATTCCCAGAAGAAACTGGGATGCCTTCCTCTGTTCTCCTAGGAGGGTCTAGCCCAAGAGCCTGATGGGAATGGTAGTTCTATCCCTCCCCGTGGCTTGGGGGTAGTGTTAGCCATGACCTCCGACTCTCTCTTGGTCCCTGACTGGCTTTCTCCTCTCTTACAGGCCTGTAACTACCCCCTGGAACTCTACGAGGTGAGTAGAGACGCTGGAGGGAGATGCTTTCATCCTCATGGCCAGTCTCTGTTTTTCACTCATCTCTTTATGTCCTGTGGTTGACTGTGGGCTTTGAGTCAGAGGCTAAGTTCTCCCTACCCTAGGTCAGCTCGGTAGGGGAGGACAGAGACACCCACCTCATCCAGCTGCCTATTCCACCCGACAGGGCCTCTGGGGCCCAGACCAGACCCTGTCACTGCTCCCTAGACTGGAAATCTTTCTAGAACCACCCTGTCATTTGCCTACGAGCGATACAGGAAATACAAGATGATGAGTTAAATGCGAAGTAGCCCAAGGCCCCCTGACAGACAGGACTGGAGAGAATGTCAATCCATTTGGCTTTCGGTCCAGGGCACTTGGAGGAGCATGGGGAAAGCTTGATTCCAGCTAGAAGAAGTGAATGAAAGCCCATCCTTTCTGTAAACTTTCATTCAAATCACAATTAAGGGGTGTGTGTGTGTGAAGGTAGTGAGAAAATTTGGGGAGAAAAAAAAGAAATTTAGTGAGGAAGGACTTCCCAGAGGAGGTATTGATGTGCGCATTGATCCTGGAATTTTCCTGCCACAGCGTCCATTTATTGGTTTTAACTTTTGACTGTAATTATTGAAAATTTTTTTCCTTTTTATTACTATTGTTCATTTTACAGAGATTTTGAATTCCATTCATTCATTCATTGTTGGACTTTTTTCCCTACCCACCCCTCTCCTCCAGTTCGTTCTTCTCTTTGAAAAGAAAAGGAAAATTTATTTCATTGTTATACAATCTCTCCCCCCAAGTCCACTTCACTGTGCTGCCTTCATTCTGGACTCCTGTCATGGCAATAATACCTAATCATATATATCTTTTAAACAGTTCTCTTTCTCATCTGTTTCAATGCAGTATATCATAATTTATCCCATCTTTCTCAGTCTCCTCTCAACCCCGATGTCAGTCCTGTTTTACAACAGTGGGCCTATGCAATACTTGTCCTTTTGTGACTGAGATATTTCACTCAACATAATGTTCTCCGGGGTCACCCATTTTATAGAACGTGAGTTCCTCATTTTTCAATGCTGCATAGTATTCCGTTGTGTGAACATACCACAGCTTCTCTGTCCATTCATTTGTTGATGGGCACTTAGGTTGTTTCCAGCTCTTTGCTATTGTGAACAAAGCTGTGATAAACATGGGTGTGCTTGATTGTGATTTGGGTCTAAGTTTGCAGAGTGAGCTGGTGTTTCCAACCCAGCAGTTCACATGAGCTTTGATTCTCAGTATTGTTGACAGGCCCCAGCGTGTGGCATCACTCATCCCAATCCCTCCCTATGTTTCCTGTTTCCACTCATCCTTTCCTAGCCCTTCCTGCCCTTTGAGCTTTATCCCTGGGCAAGTGCCATCCTTTTGATCTCATGTGGCTCAGTGTCCTAAGAAATGCAAACCTCCCTGGTGTAAATTATTCACCTCACAGGCTTGTCTGTGTCTGGGCTGGAAGTTGAGCTACTGTGGTGAGTTCAGATCCAGGCTTGAAGGGTGTGCACAGGTGTCTCTCGGTCTGGTCTTTTCTATCTCACTTTTTTTTTTAATGATTTTGAGTTTTGTTCCACATTTCCCCTCACATTTTATTAGTGATGACTGTGCTTAGAAACATGTGCATGACGGATATAGCCGTTATTTGTGGCAACGTTTCAAGGGAGCTCCGGTGGCCGAGTGGAGAAGGGGTTGTGCTTCCAACCCGCAGACAGGTGGTTTGAATCCACCAGCTTCTTGGCAGGGAGGAAAAAATGGGCAATCTCCTCCCGTGGGATTGACTGACCGAAAACTGCACGAGGGGGGGTTAGGAGCCAGTTCTGACTCAATGGCACGTAACAGTAACCAGTAAGACCAAACGAAACCCCCCACCAAACCCACTGTCATGGGGTCGTCACCAACGCACAGGGACTTTCTATACAGTTTCTTAGGCTGTACATTTTAACAGCCACGGAGCACCTAATTTTTCTCTCTTGGAACAGCTGGTGGATTTGAACCACCGATCTTGTAGTCAGCTGTCCAACCACTATAGCACTGGAGCTCCTCTCTATCCCAGAGCCTTTACTGTGTCCTTTTCAGAATGGATCGCAGTGGTTGCTGGGCGCCCTCTAATCCCTCGCGTCTCGCGTCTCGAGGTCACAGGCCCTGGGGGCCCATGTGGTCTGTCTGTCCTGTAGGTTGATGACGGCCACACACCCTTGATGGTCACTGCTCTCGTGTCCTCTTACTCACTTACCCATTAAATTCCTCTTTCCTGTGGCATCTGGTAAGCCAAGCCTGGCTGTGGGTGTTGCTTGGTGTAAACTCGGGAAATTCCCTGTGAGATCAGGTCCTCTTCTGATGGAGGAGAGAGTTACAGGTGAAGACATTCTCTGGGAAGATATTGATTGATGCGGTATTGATGCAGATAGCCTCGGGTACCAGGGAGTGCTGGCCGAGCATGAGAGAGTCAGAGGCAGCTCCCGGAAGGGGAAGGGTGAGCCCTGGAGAAAGGGTGTACAGTATTTCCCAGGGTGGTGGTGGTGGGAAGGGGGGAGAGAGAGGATACAGGAGAGAAAGAGAGAAGAGAGCAAGAGAGGGAGTGGGAAGAGGAGGGGAGCGGGGAGAGGAGAGAACAGGACAGGAGAGGAGAGAGAAGAGAGTGAGAGAGAAGAGAAAGGGAAGAGAGAGAGAGATGAGAGAAAGAGTGAAGAGAGAGAGGGGAGGGGAGAGAAAGAGAGGAGAAAGGAAAGAGAAGAGAGAAAGAGAAAGGGGAGGAGAAGAGAGAGAAAGGGAGGAAGGGAGGGAGGCGGAAGGGAAGGGAAGCGGGGAGGGGAGAGGAGAGAACAGAAGAGGAGAGAGAGAAAAAAGAAGAGAGTGAGAAGAGAGATGAGAGAGAGAGAGAGAGCGCAGGGGGAGAGAGAAGTGAGAGGAAAGAGGAGAGAGGGAGATCACCCCAGAGAACAGGGAGAAGTTCCTCTCGAAAGTGTCCAGTGTTTATGGAAATAAAAACTCAAACCCACTGCTGCCCAGTCAGAACTGACCCACAGCCGACCCTCCAGTGGGTTTTCAGAGGCAGTGAATCTGTAGACGTCTGTCTTTCTGTCCTGGAGCTGCTGGTGAATTTGAACCACCATGAGGAGGTCCACTGTCTGTCAGCAGCTCATGCTCCTATACGCTTTGCCACCTCTTTGGAGAAGCTCCTTGCCTCTCGGCAGCTTGTGGGTTCGAAGCACTGGTTATCAGCTCAGTGGTTTAAGCTGCTATTATGACCTCGTACCCCAAGGTCCCTGATGGTGGAGCCCACGTAGGTGAGAATGAAGCAGATTGAAGGTAGAAAGGAATACGGCCCTCAGTCACACTCAGAACCTGGAACAAAATTCACCCCTGCTGCTCAACTTGATTTCCCCCTGAGAGAGGCCAGTGGATTCAAACTGCCAACCTTTCGGTTCAGTAAAAAAAAAAAAAAAGCTGTGAAGTCAGAGCTTAGCCATCGCTGGCTCTCCAGGGGGTCTTCAGAAGTTATGAATCTCACAGGAGAGGAATACCACCTTTTCCTCTCACAGAACTACTCGTGTGTTTGAGCCTCCTACCTTAGGGCTGCCAGCCCAACTCCTTTCCCACTAGGCCACCAGAGCCCTCTGCCTCTGGCTTGCAGCCCAGCACACTATAGGCTACAATCCAGGGTTCCTTTCAAGTTATACACAAGCTTACTCCATCCGGGTTCCCGAGGCTGTGAATCTCAGCTGGAGGAGAAAACCTTTATCCTGAAAAAAAACAAAACACACACCCTGCAGATGGATTCAAATCTCAGGAGACGATGCCTTTCCATCAACATCAAAACGTGCCAAGGACTACTCCACAGAGCTCCTTTCTCATCCGAGTGTTAGCTAAATAGAAATACATAAATGGCTTTAGTGATGAGCTGCCCTGTTAACCCAAAGGCAGGCGGTTCGAATCCCCCAGCTTCTCCGAGGGAGAAAGATGAGCACTATCTTCCTGTGTGATTTTACTGCCTCAGAAAACCTGCTGGAGGGTCAGGTGTGAGTCGGTTCCACCTTGATGGTGGTGGTTGTTAAGTGCCATCAAGTCACAGATGACTCACAGCAACCCTATGAACGAAAGACCTGAGCACTGGTATCGCTTTCATCGTTTCTCCACATTCATAGAGTTTCCGGGGGTAAGTATGGTATAAATTATGATTACTTTCTTCAGAGTATCTAAAGAAAAAGAATTTTTTAAAATTTTAATTTTTATTAATTTTCATGAAAGTTTACAGAGACTTTGGATTTCCATTCATTCATTGCTGCTCTTTTCTCCCTGTCCAACCCCCATCCCCCATTCACTCTTCTCTTTGAAAAGTAAAAGAAAAATTCTTTCATTGTTATACAATCCCTCCTCTCAAGTCCACTCCACTATGCAGCCTTTGTTCTGGACTCCTGTCATGACAATAATACGTAGTCATATATCCCTTTTAAACACTTCTCTCCCTCATCTATTTCAATGCAGTATACATTATTTATCCCATCTTTCTCAGTCTCCCCCCAACCCCGATGTCAGTCCTGTTTTACAGCAGTGGCACTATGTAATATTTGTCTTTTTGTGACTGAGATATTTTCACTCAGCATAACGTCCTCCAGGATCACCCAGTTTGTATAATATTTCATGAGTTCCTTGTTTTTTCAATGAGCATAGTAGTCCATTGTGTGAATGTACCACAGCTTCTCTATCCATTCGTCTGTTAATGGGCACTTAGGTTGTTTCCAGAAAAAGAACTTTTTAAAAAGCCATTATCGGGAAAAAATTATTTCAATATTTTCCTCTGACTCGACCAATGGATTTGAGTGTCTCCGAGACTGTGAGGAAGATAAAAGACGGAGAATGGGGCAGATTTGTTTGTTCATTGATAGCAACGAGTTGCAGTCATGGTTGCTGGATGGTACACAACAACAAAAAATCATAAAGAAATCCTTTCGGTTATTAAAGGGACCGTGGGATGGGGTGGTGATTAAATGTCAATGGTTTGAACCCACAAGGTGCTCTGTGGGAGAAAGAAAAGGTGGTTGGTGTCTTTAAATATTCGCAGCCCCTGAAATCGTGTGGGTAGCTCTGCCCTCCCCTCTGGGGGTCTCTGTGAGTTAGAATCTACCAGACAGCAGTGAGTAAGGGAGCCCAGGTGGCTCAGTGGGCACAGCATTCACCTGCTGATTGAAAGCCCACCAGTCTGACTACCCCCCCACCCCCACCCCTTGCAGCACTTTCAGGAGGCCCGCTGTTATTCACAGCTTCGGAACCCCCCAGCACTGCGCTGGGCGGTAGGGACCCTCTGAGCTCGAATCTGTTACTTGGCTGTGGGTTTTGGCTAGCTAGCATAGCTTGTTACTTTTTTAATTAGCTAGCAAGTCATTTACCTGCTCTGCACTAAAGAGCTGGACAATGACTAAGGATGATAGAGGAATTGATGCCTTTGAGCTGTGGTGCTGGAGAAGAGTGTTGACTATATTGTGAACTGACAGGAGAACAAACAGGTCTGCCCTAGAGAAGGTGAAACCAGGCTGCTCCTTGGAGGCAAGGATTTTGAGGCTCCGTCTCACATGCTTTGGGCATGTGGCCAGGAGGGACTGGTCCTTGGAGAAGGGCATCATGCCTGGAAGGGTGGAGGGACAGCGCAGGAGAGGAAAGACCCCGGATGAGATGGATTGACACAGTGATTCGAGGTCATGTTGGAGGCGATGAGACGGCTCAGGACAGGATGGGTTTCAGAGCTGGCGTATGTAGCGACTTGATGGCACTTAACAAGAAGCATAGTCTGTGGGGGGCTCTGAAGTCCGTGTCCCAGAGTTGCACTACTAACCAAAAGGCTGGGCCTGTCCGGTGGTCCCAGTCCACCAGCTGCTCTGCAGTGGTGGGGGAAAAGGTAGGCAATTTCATCCCTTTGTGATTTGTGGCTTTGAAAACCCAATGGACGCTCAACCACATACAAGCATAGTTTTTGGGGTGTGTGTGTGTGTTATCTTGTGTACCATCGAATCAAATCCAACTGGCACAGGAGAAGACTGCCCATCTGTCTCCCACAGAGCATCTGGTGGATTTGAACCTGGTGCCTTTGGGGTTGCAGTGCAGCTTCTTGCCACTAGGCCACCAGAGCTCCTAAGCGCGGTTTGTTTTAAAGTATTGCACTGCTAACATCTCTGGCAGTTTGAATCCACCAGTGACTTCTGAGGGCGAAAGATGGGCAGACAGTCTCCTCCGGTTTAGACTGACAACCTCAGAAATCACTGAGTCAGATCGTTGGTTGTGGGGTTGGGCTTCGAGGCTGTGGGGAACCAGAGAGCATTCTTCAGCCAGGATAGAGGAGACAACTTTGCTTGGCCAACCTTCACTCCATCCGTCGTTTTTTATAGCGGCAGTTTGCTCTGCCCTGTGCCACAGGCCTCCTCCCCTGCCGCCCCTTTGCTCCTGAAGGCCTCTGTCTGTCTTGGGGTCACCTCCTTGTCCCAGTCTGCGGCTTGACCCTCACCTGCTCTCCCCTCTCTCACAGCGGGTGCGGATGGGCCCCTCGTCCTCCCCCATTCCCTCTCCGTCCCCCAGCCCTACCGACTCCAAGCGCTGCTTCTTCGGAGTGAGCCCAGGACGTCTGCACATCTCGGACTTCAGCTTCCTCATGGTTCTGGGGAAAGGCAGTTTTGGGAAGGTTGGATTCCTGGGGTGCCCTGGAGGGGAGCAGGGGAGGGTGTTGGGTGGTGAGTGGGCAGAGTCCTGCTTGTTAAGGAGAGAGCACGGGAGGAGGGGATGGGGGCTGGACCCCTTGTTTTCTTCGGGAGGAGTGTCAAAAGGGGATATGTTGTCCTGAGAAGATAGATGATGGTCAGTTAAGCAGTTGGTTCCGGAGATGGAGGAAGGCCGGGGACAGTTCCTCTGAGTCCTCGCACAGGATGGGGCCCAGGACCCTGCCCTGCTGGGCCCCACGATGGACTGGACCTTCAGAGCCTTCCTTTAAAGGTGATGCTGGCCGAGCGCAGGGGTTCGGACGAGCTGTACGCCATCAAGATCCTGAAGAAGGACGTGATAGTCCAGGACGATGACGTGGACTGCACGCTGGTGGAGAAACGCGTGCTGGCCCTGGGCGGCCGAGGCCCAGGCGGACGGCCCCACTTCCTCACCCAGCTGCACTCCACCTTCCAGACCCAGGTACAGGATCGGGGGACAGGAGGTGGCCAGACCCTCTGGGACTGCCCATCAGCTGGGGGGCTGTGCGTGTGTGGGGCAGAGCAGGAGCCAAATGCACCCTGGTGGGCTTTAATGGGCAGGTAGATGGGGCCAGTTAAGTGAGGCTATGAATGGGCGTGGCCAGACAAATGAGGTTTATAGTAGGCGTGGTCAGACTAGTGGGGTCATGATGGTCATGGCCAGGCAGTGAGGTCATGATGGGGGAGGTCAGATGAGTGGGATCATGGTGGACATGGTCAGAGGAGTGAGGTAATAATAATGGACGTGGCCAGGTGAGTTAAGTTAATGGTGGGCATGGCCATCAGAGGGCGATGAATAGTGGGCGTGATCAGAGGAGTGAGGCCATGATGGGCGTGGCTGGGTGCGTGAGATCATGATGAGAGTGGTCAGATGAGTGAGGTAATGATGGGCATGGCTAGACGAGTAGGGGCTCGTGTGGGCGTGGCCAGACTCAGGCGGTCATGGTGGACTTTGTCAGAGAAGTGAGGTCATGAGTGAGCGTGGCTTGAAGAGGAGGGGCTCGCGTGGGTGTGGCCAGGCGTGTGAGGCACTGGATGGACGTGGTCATGGGGGGAGGACTCAGGTGGGCGTCACCAGGTGGGGTGCCATCCCCGTGGGCAGACATATGGCAGTCAAGTGGTCATTATGAGGCTGACATGGCTGTGAGTGGACATCATGAGACAGTGGCAGTCCCCTGAGTGGGCGTGGCAGAGGCTGGGACTCAGAGAAGCAGAAGGCTGGACCTGAGTGGACGTGACCAGATGGTGTGGCCCCCAAATGGGTGAGGCCAGATGCAGTTTTGAGTGGGTGAGACCAGAAGAGAAGTTTTCCACTTGGTGGTATCCTAAACGGTGATTCTGGATAGGCCGTAAAGACGGAGCCCTGAGTATGTGTGGCCGTAAGGGTAGGGCTCTGAGTGGACATAGTGGGAAGGATATGGTCATCAGTGGGTGTGGTCATAAGGACAGGGCCCTGGGTGGGCGTGGTTATAGGATGGGACGGAGATCAGGTCTTTGGTGCAAAGCTTACTCTGAATTGTATTCGACTCTGCGACACTTAACCACTCCTAAATGAGACTAGTGCTGTTTTATCTGGAGGAACACTCTTCCACTTTGTACATCACTCCTTGTCAAGGTGCTGTATGAAGTAACCTGAGTTTGCTGTGATGCTGAACCTTGTACCATTGGGGTATCAAATACCAGAATGATTCCCCAATGTGGACAGTGTTTGGTGGAGCTCCCAGTTATAAAACAGGTTTGGAAGCATGAGTGGAATCCACTTCCTAAACCACATGCCTGTGGAAACTCTGTGAACTTGGAGAAACGATAGCTATGGAAAGGCATTCGATCTTTCATTCCTAGAGTGGCTATGAGTTGACCTCAGCTCGACAGCAAACACCACCACCAACAACATGGGTTGGAAACCATTTGATGGCATTGGGTTCAAAGTTGATTTTAAACAGTTTTTAGAGGGTGGGACCAAACCCCCTGTGAGCTGAGAGTGATTGGTGATTGGGCAAATGACGTCTCCGAGAGGGTGGGGCCACACCCCTGAGACCTCCCAGTGGGTGTGGCCAGTTGTTTTGGCCTTTCGATTGGGTGGATCTAGAGTCCAGGGTTGTCCTGAGTGGGTGAGGGGGGAAGGATGGTCCCTCCCCTTTGGTGCGTGTGTCCTCACAACTCAGCCCCGCCCTTGTCCACAGGATCGCCTGTATTTCGTGATGGAGTATGTGACTGGGGGCGACTTGATGTACCACATCCAGCAGCTGGGCAAATTTAAGGAGCCCCATGCAGCGTGAGTCTCAGGCCAGGAGGAGAAAGAGGGGAAGGTATTGGATATGGAAGGGTTCTGGCCACTGACCTCTGTCTTTCCACCCTCTGCTTGCTCTGTTCCAGGTTTTACGCAGCAGAAATCGCCATTGGCCTCTTCTTCCTTCACAATCAGGGCATCATCTACAGGTGAGCAGCCTCTTGTTTTGCTCAGGGATTCAGATCTCTTGGTTCCAATACATGTTAACCGTGCGTGTCTCACTAACTGGTCCCATTTCTGTAGGTCCTTGGCTCACTTAGCAGGGTGTATTTCTCACCAGGTGGCAAGTACGCTAGGAGGTCTTAGAAGCTTGGTGTTGTATTTAGGTGCTGTTGAGTCGCCTGTGTCTCAGACCCTTTGTGTAACAGAATGACACCTGGCCTGATCCTGTGACATCTTCACAGCCTCTGCTGTGTTCAAGTTCACTGCTATGGTCACCATGTCAATGCATCTCATCGAGGACCTTCCTTGCCTTTGCTGACTCCCCACCTTCCCCAGTTTGAAGTCCTTTACCAAAAACTGACCCTTCCTCATAACCTGCCCAAAGTATGTGAGATAGAGTCTCACCATCCTTGTTTTTTTTTTAAAATGTAAATTTATTATTAATTTTAGTAAAAATGTACAGAGACTTTGGATTTCCATTCACTTATTTTTGCACTTTTCTTCCCTCCCAACCCTCCCCCCTAGTACACTACCCTCTTGGAAAAGTAAAAGACAAATTCTTTTGTTGTTTTACAATCCCTCCCGCAGGTCCACTCCACCATGTAGCCTTCGCTCTGGACTCCTGTCATGACAAAAATACCTAATCACATATCCGTTTTAAACAGTTTTCTCCCTCATCTGTTTCAATGTAGTATACATTGTTGGACCCATCTTTCTCAGTCTCCCCCCAACCCCAAGATCAGTCCTGTTTTAGAGCAGTGGCACCATGCAGTATTTGTCCTTTTGTGACTGAGATACTTCACTCAGCATAATGTCCTCCAGGGTCACCCATTTTGAACAATATTGCATGAGTTCCTTGTTTTTCAAGGCAGCATAGTATTCCGTTGTGTGAATATACCACAGCTTCTCTATCCATTCGTTTGTTGATGGGCACCTGGGTTGTTTCCAACTCCTTGCTATTGTGAAAAAAGCCATCCTTGTTTTTTAAGGAGCATGCTGGTGACACTTTGTCCAAGATGGGTTTGTTCGTATCAGTCCATCTCACTGAAAATCTTTTTCTTTTTCCAACCATGATGTCTTTCTCCAGAGATTGAAACCTGGAGAGACCACCCCTAACACTTGGTCATGCTGGGTTGATTTACCCGGCTTGGTGGACAGCCTTGAATGACCCTTTGGGGACAAGACTCAGAGACATCCTATTTATGTGATTCCTATGTGAGAATTGTAGGTGACTAGAGGTAACTGGTGGTTGCTGTGATGCTGAACGCTGTGACACTGTGTCACATGCAATAATGGTTACCCACGGTGGACAGTGTTTGGTGGAGCTCCCCGATTAAAACAAGCTTGGAAGCAGGAGTGACATCCACTTCCGAAATGGCTTGTCTCTGGAAACTCTTTAAACATGAAGAAATGACCAAAGTTATAAAAGTGGTCATGTCTTCTGTTCATGGGGTGGCTATGAGTCCTCTATGATTTTGACAGCACTTAACAACAGCAGATGTCAACAGGACCTGGAAAGGTGTGATTGGGGGATGGTGCTCCTAGCAACCCGATGTGCATTGAATTGTCTCAGTGCATTTAACTGAGTTGTTCTCTGTTTCGCTGACGTTCTGCTTTTCCGAGGATGATTTCTTTCTCCAGGAACTGGCCTTCTTGTAACATACCTAAAGTATGTGATGCAAAGTATCACCATTCTTTCTTCCAAGAAGGACATTGATTGTATTTCTTCCCTGGGTTGTTACTCAGGAAAAAAAAAGAAAAAAAAACCCCACCAAAAAAACCCAAAGCAAAACCAACCGAAAACAAAACACCAACACTCCAGGGCAAGGAAACAGAGAAAGAAATTACAGTTTTCCCTCTCTACAAGATTTCTCAGAAAAGAACCGACCAGAATGTCATTCAGGAGGTATTTCCCCAACCCCTCCAATGGAAATTTGACTCACCATTTCCACTTATCACAGGACATTTCCGAGGAAGGAAACAACGAATACCAAAGGTTCAAAGCCTGGCTCCAGGATTCTGACGCTAACCCCCACTTCGTAATGTGACTTTTCTTCTTGGGCTTCTAATGGGCTCTGCCCTGACTCACAGCTTCCTTTGGAGCCCGTAAACTCGATTCTTAAGCAGACTGTGGTCCAGAAAGGGTCGTTAAGATGGGAGTCTGAGGCTGAATGGAGGGAGTAGACTTTCGTCTGAGCTGAGAGAGGAAGGACCATCACAAGCAGAAGTCTCAGAAATCCAGATATTTTCTAGTCTCAGGTCACCCAGATTGGTCAGAGGGAGCCCCAGCTTGCTTCTCCCAGGCCTTTCAATGAAGTGGGAGAAAAAACACCCCCCCCAAAACACACAAAACAACACCAACCCCTGCTGCTGACAGAAGGACCAATGCCTTTTTTTCCTTTTTCAAATTAATAGAATTTTATTACAAGAATCAGATCCATTTTGAAATCAGATGCATATGATTTGACAGGCCTCATTTCTGTAGCTGGAAAACTCCTAGCTATCACTCACCAGCCTGCTGGACGGTTCCTTTTTCGGAGACATAGATACCGGCCAAAAATTTTCGAGTATCCTTGTTTTTAACTGTTGTAGCTTGCTAAATCAACGCAGCTGAATTTGATACAAGTTCAATGTCATTTCCTTCAAGAATTAACTCATCTTTCTGGGCTTGAGATACCGAACAAGCAACATCTGGTCTCATTTGAACTCTCCGAATGTATTTTTCACCCAAGAAGTTTCGAATTTCAACCAGAGATCCACTCTCTTGAATCACAACGTTGATGGCGAAATGAGCATACACAGACCTCATCTTGTAACGAAAGCCCAGTGTAACACCCTTGATCATGTTCTGTACGTGGCTATAGATGTTGCCAACAGTAGCCAGTTCCTTCCTGTTTCCCCACCATTTGTCAACACGAAACTGCTTCTTTTTCTTTCCGAGGAGACTGAGCTCTGCATTGATGTGATTGAAGTCCCTCTGCAAGGTTCCCTGCAGGCCTTTCATGATGACTGTGCGGCCCTTCAGAGGAATGTCGACATTCTCTGGAATGTCAACTGTCTGGTTGCTGAGAATGGTCTTCATTCTCGCAGTTAATGTGGCAAAAGGGGACCAACGCCTTTGAGTTGTGGCGTGGGAGATGAGTGTTGGACACACCGTGGACTGCCAAGAGAACACACAGGTCTGCCTTGGGGAGGGTGGCACCAGGATGCTTGCTTCTTGAGGCCAAAGACGGTGAGACTCTGCCTCATACCTCTCGGGCATGTTGTCAGGAAGGACCAGTTCTTGGAGAAGGTTGTCATGTTTAGAAAGGTAGAGGGCCAGTGCAAGAGAAGATGACCTGGATGAGATGGGTTGACACGATGACTGTCCAGTCATTAGGCGTGTCACAGATGGTGAACGTGGCTCAGGAGAGGGCCAGGTTCAGAGTCACTGTTTATAGAGTCACTATGGGTAGCCGTCAACTCAACGGCACCTAAAAACAAGAACAACTCACAGAGAGATGGCATTTCTCCGACAGCTGGAATGCACCCGCAGCATTATGGGAGAAAAAATGGGCAGAAAAATAAAGTGTGATTTACAGCCTCAGAAACTCAATGGAAAATAATCTATGATTATACATTATATGCATAAGAATTCTCTGGAACAAGGAATGCATTACTGGGGACAGGGGTTAGAAAACTGTGTAACATTGAATAAATAAAAAGAAAAACAAGAAAAACCCAGTGGTTAGATGTGAGTCAGTTCTGATCCAATAACAGTGTATTTTGAGATAGGGCAAGGGAAAGCCCCTGATGATGTGAACGGTTAACATGCTTGGCTGTTAATCAAAAGGTGGGCAGTTTGAATCCACCCAGAGAGATATTTTTGAAGTAAGACTTGCAATCTACTTAAAAACCAAACCAAAAAACAACCCAACTATTGGAAATCCTGTGGCCACCACCTCCTCTACTCTGAAAAGAAGAATCACATCGTGCTGGGCTATCACTACTGACTTTTCTGATAGACACCCAGTCGGTAGACCCTGAAAGAATGGGAGGAGAATATAGGACAGATTTCAAATTCTTCGGGATATTAAGACTCACTGGACCAGTTGAGGGAGAGGACTCCTTGAAACTATTGCCTTGAGCTATTCTGTAAACCTTGAGTCAAATCTATCCCCCAAGTCTCCTTTTAGCAAAGTAACAGATTGACATACAAAATAAAAGATATTACCCCTGAGGATAGTGCTCCATTAAAAACCCATCTAAATGAGACCAAAAGGTCAACAATTAGAGCTAAGAAGAGGGCAGAGGAAACCTGCATACTAGAAATGGAACAGCCAGAAGGCAATTAAAGAGGCGGTTGACACGTGGCGAAAAATGTCACCCATGTCCCTGGACAATTTGTACAGAAATTGCCAAGCTGGAACCCAATTTCTTGTGCAAAACCTTACGGACATACCTTGGAGATTTTGTGGGTTTAATTCCAGCCCACCTGTAGAAAGCACATATTGCAGTAAGATGAGTCACGTGAAGCTTTTGCTTTCCCATTGCATGTCAAAGTGATGTTGGTTGTTGGTTACTTAAGGAGTGCTGGTGGCATAATGGTTAAAGAACCTGGCTGTTCATCAAAAGTTCAGCAGTTCAAGCCCACCAGCTCCTCCAGTGAAGACAGACGAGGCATTAAGATGAGCTTCAATTAAGATTACAGTTGTGGAAATTCAATGGGGGAAGTTCTCCTCTGTCCTGTAAGGGCGCTGTGTCAGAACTAACTTGGTGGTTGCTGAGTTTTGTTGTTGTTGTTGTTATGTGCTGTCGAGTCTCTTGCAACTCATAGCGACCCTATATACAACATCCCTCAACTCTGCTCTGTCCTGTGCCAATCGCACTGTCTCCGACACTCCCATCTGATTATCCCAGTCACTGAATCATTCGGTGAGTTTCGTTAGTCATACAAAATGTGTCATATCATGATGAACAGGTCTGAAATGTTGCAAGAATTACAAAATGTGACACATAGACATCAAGTGAGTACATACTGTTGGAAAAATGGCACTGAGACTCGCTCCACGCTCGATGCCACAAACCTTCAAATTAAGGGGGAAAAAGAGTCCTCTCCGAAGAGAGAGAGAAAGAGGAGGGAGAGAGGGAGGGAGAGAGGAAGAGAGAGAGACACACAGAGAGAAAGAGGAGGGAGAGATGAAGAGAGAGAGGAAGAGAGAGAAGAAGAGAGAGAGAGATACAGAGAGAAAGAGGAGGGAGAGAGGGAGGGAGAAAGGAAGAGAGATAGACAAAGATAGAAAGACAGAAAAAGGGAGACAGAGGAGGATGAGAGGGAGGGAGAGAGGAAGAGACAGACAGAGATAGAGAAAGACACAGAGAGATAAAGACAGAGAGAGAAAGGCAGAGACAAAGAGACAGAGGAGGAAGAGAGGGAGAGAGAGAGAGACAGACAGAAACACACACACACACACACACACACACACACACACACACACACACACACAGTGTTTTTAGAAAAGAAAAAGAAGGCAAGCCTTATGGAGCACAGCGATTCTCTGCCTTCGAGCGTGGAGCTGGCTGAGTGCGTCGCATACCCCGTGGCCTGCCAAAAGAACAAACAAATCTGTCCAGAAAAAAGTACAAACAGAAAGCACACTTGTTGGAGGCAGGGATGGCAAAACTTGGTCTCGCTCTCTTTGCGTATATTTTCAGGAGGAACCAGTCCTCAAGCTGGGAAAGGTAGAAGGGTGGTAAAAAAAAATAAAAGAGGAAGACCCTCAGTGAGATTGACTGACACGGTGACCATCGTAACGGGCATGACACAGGCGGTGTGGATGGTGCAGGGTAACGCCAGCTTCAGATCTCGGACAAGCGTCAGCTCTGTTGATCACAGGGTCACTGTGGGTCATTGTCAATCTGACGACATCTAACAACATGACGAGTCTGAAACACATGGGGTCATTGTGAGTTAGCATCCCCTTGAGATCCATCTGTCATTGGTCGAGAGAGAGAATTATTACCACACAGGCCATTGAAATCCACCCTCTCCATGTTTTTTTTGTCCTTCCCCTCCTCAGAGACCTGAAACTGGACAACGTAATGTTGGACGCTGAAGGCCACATCAAAATCACTGACTTTGGCATGTGCAAAGAGAACATCTTCCCAGGGACCACCACCCGCACCTTCTGTGGGACCCCGGACTACATAGCCCCAGAGGTAAGCCAGCCACCGGGCTGCCGGCACTGGCTACTGTCCAAGGTGCTGAAAGGAGCGTGTGTGGCTGTCTAGTATTCAAAGGGGATGAGGCTGGGCCCTGGATTCTTCTAAGGAGTCTTGGACGTTTCTGACGAAGTCAGGACTCGCTCCAACCTCCCAACGTGTAGAAGCCCAGCCCGAGAGCTGAGTTTTCTAAAGTAGGCGGAACTGCTATCTTAAATAGCCGAAGTAGGTGGAACTTGTGGGCGAATGTTCTGAAAGAGTGGGCCTTGCTCGTAGGGATTCTAAATAATCAAGACTTGTTTCTGGACTTTGTAGGGAGGTGGTGACTATTTCCAGGGCACTCCGAGTGAAGGAGGGGGGCCCCCTTTCCCCCACAAAACCATGTGGAGGCTGTCTGCGGAGTATTTTAAGTGGGTGGAGACTCACCCTCGAGTCTTCTAATGAGATCAAAGCTGATCTTACAAGTAGTCTCTGTGGTTCTTTGACATAAGCAGGTGGTCTTTTGTACTGGACAGTCTAAGGAGAAAGAACCAGACCTTTAAGCAATCCACAAGGGCGGATGGTGCTTCTAAATACTTGGGGTGGGCAAAGCATCACTTTGGCATTGCTTAGAGACTGGAAGTGATCATCCAAACATCCATGGTATTGGATAGTCTGTGTATTGACATTGTGAAGCGGAAGGAGGCGGTGGCCGTGATGGTAACAGTTCGGTAACACCTCCAGGCAGTCAACACTGGTACCCAAGTGAGGTACCCTGGTGGGGCAGTGGATTAAGCATTGGGATGCTAACGGAATGATTTGCTGGTTGCTCCACCAGAGAGAACATCTATCTGCTTCTGTAGAGAGCTTTAGAGATCTGATGGGGCTCTTCTATCTGGTCCTGCAGGATTGCTAGGAGTCAGAACAATCTCAGAAGCATTGGGTTTGGGTTTTGGGTGCCCAGGTAGGAGTACTGACTGGTATGGATTGTTAAGCATACAACTGCTGAAAGATAGTTTGAACCCACCCAGGAACACCTCAGAAGACAGAATCCTGCACCTCCAGCATCTAACACAGTTCCAAAATCCAGAGTCCAACTTTCTAGCTGTCCATCTCCTAGGTCAAGGAACTCTGGGGTTTAAAGAAGAGACTATCCAGTTCCTCTCCTCTGCTTCCCTGTTGGAATCTGGGAGTTTTTTTTCTTTTGAGTCACAGTCAAATCGGAACCATTCCATAGGCTTTTCAGAGTCTTTAGAGAATCAGACGCCCCTGCCTTTCTCCTGTGGAGCAGCTAGTGGGTTCGAACCATGGATCTTTCACTTGGCAACCTTGCTGCTTAACCACTATGCCACCAGGGTTCCTTAATGACAGTTAAGTACCCAAGTGATCAATGCCGGGGGTTATAAAACCAGAAGACATCAGAACCACTTGGGAAACTTTAGGGGGAAGAAAAAAGAGAATCAACATATTTCCGACTCTGGAATACTGGAGCTGGAATTTTCTAATGTCATCTAACAATCAAGGCCTCAAATGCAACCGGTATAAATTGAGGTTTAAGAATATTTAGTCTCTTGGCAAGAAGCCGCACTGCAATCCCAAAGGTGAGCAGTTCGGATCCACCAGATGCTCTGCTGGAGAAGGAGGGGAAATCTCCTTCTTTACCAGTCAGATCCGATTTGACAGTATACACACACAAAAATAATAAAAGTTTTTAAAAAAGAATACTTAGTCTTTGAAATGTGACTCTATGAATGGATGTTTTTAGGGGGAGGCCCAGTTACCCTCTCTGGGAGTACAACCTATGACTTGAGCCTTAGTTAGTTTTTATATTCAGGACTTAAAAACAAAAGTAAACCCCCCTAAACTAAAACCCAAACTAACAAGAAGACAAAGATTCTCCCCACTGGGCCAATTGGCAGCATCAGGATGGATGGTGAAGAGATTGAGATTGTTTACAGTTTCAGTTTGCTTGGCTCCACGGTCAACACTCTGGGCACCAGCAGCCAGCAAATAAAAAGACGTATTGCGATGGGAAAGTCTGCTGTGAGGGACCTCTCTAAAGTACTGAAGAGCAATGGTGTCTCTCTGATACAGGCCATGGTCTTTGCTATCACTTGTTATGCATCAGAGAGTTGGACAATGACCAAGGAGGATAGAAGGAGAATTGACGCCTTTGAGCTGTGGTGCTGGAGAAGAGTATTGAATGTACCATAGACTGCCAAGAAAACACACAGATTCATCCTGGAGAGGGTTAAAGCAGGCTGCTCCTTGGAGGCAAGGATTCTGAGGCTCTTTCTAACATACTTTGGACATGTTGTGAGGAGAGACCGGTCCTTGGAGAGGGATGTCATGCTTGGGAGGGTGGAGGGACAGCACAGGAGGGGAAGGCCCTCTATGAGGTGGACTGATTCAGTGACTGGGGTAATCGGGATGGGTGTATCGGAGACAGTGCGATTGGCACAGGACAGAGCAGAGTTTAGGGCTGTTGTACATAGGGTCGCTATGAGTTGCAAGCGACTTGACGGCACATAACAACAACAATTACTGTTGGGAGCTCTGGTGGCCTGGTGCTAAGAAGCTGCATTGCAATCCCGCAGGCATGCAGTTCTAATCCACCAGCTGCTTCATGGGAGAAGGACGGGCACTCTCCTCCTGTTGGATTAACTGCCTCTGAAAAGGCCGCCAGAGGTTCAGCTGTGGGTCATTCCTGACTCAGTGATGCACCACCGCAACCACAACCACAACAGCTATTGTTGGGTCTTACACGCACAGTGACTCCCAAGGACAGAGCAGGAAGGCCCCAGAGGGTCCCACAGTTGCACATCTTTGCGGAAGCCGACTGCTCGCTCTTTTACCTCCTTGGAGTAGTTGGTGGGTGTGAACTGCCACATTTTGATTGTTGTTGTTGTGTGCCATCATGTCACAATGACTCCTAGTGACCCTGTGTTCCCTAGTTCTGAGCCTTGTCCTGTCCTGAGTCAATCTCTCCATTTCTGACAGGCCTAATCCCCTTTCTCCAGTCATTGAGTCAATCCCTCTCATCCAGGATCTTCCTCTCCTCCGCTGTCCCTCATGTTTAACTCCTTGTGCCATTAGGACGTCCTTAGACCATCCAAACCCAAGCCAAATACACAGCCATGGAGTCCACGCCAAATCGTGGTGACTCCTCATTGGGACTCGCCAGTGCTGTGCTCCTAACTGAAACACACCTTCTCACCTTTCTCCCTTGGAGCGACTGGAGGATTTGAACTGACAACCTTTCAGTTAGCATCCCGACACATAATACATGCTGCTACCAGGGGAGTAGTAAACTAGGTGAGGCAAGATCCCTGCATAGTGCACCCAAGTTTGCACCTGGCTGGCAATTGGCAGGTTGGTAGTTTGCATCCAGCCCACAGCTTTGAGGTAAAAAACAGACCTTGGCATCTGTTTCCCTGATGTGTATGACCTAGAAAACCTGTTGGGATGCTTCTACTTGGCCCCAAAGTCAGGAAACTAACAAGAAACTAACAACAAAAACAAACCCAGTAACATACCAGGTAAAGCTAACTTTCTCACATTCCTGCATGGTGCCTCCCAGCCAGAATACTGGCAGTGGGAACAGCTTGGACTGAGAACACTTTAAATGGACAAGGCTTCTGGTTTGTGAGGTCAGAGAGGTTTCTGGGCTTCTCTTCTTAAAAAAAAGGAAGCAATTAATCCAGAGAACAAATAGATCATGTGAGCCTTGGCCTCCGCTCCTCTGAGCCCAGCACTGGCTGACTCCCTGCCTCCCTGATTGGGATCATAGTACAAGGTCCTGGACTGAAAGGGAGACTGTAGAATAAAGTTCAAAATCACACACACACACGTGACCTGCCATGTGAATAGAGATTGGTGGAACCAGAGACAGTGGTCCTTAGACACCCTTCAAGCCTGGAACTTAACTCACCCATTGGTTAAATTAAAACCCAAACTACTGTTGGGAGATCTAGGTGGCCTGCTAAGAAGCTGTGTTGCAGTCCTGAAGGCACACGGTTCTAATCCACCAGCTGCTTCATGGGAGAAGGATGGGCAGTTTCCTCCTCCTCTGAAAGCCTGCCAGAGGTTCAGCCGTGGGTCAGTTCTGACTCGATGGTGCATAACAATAACAACAACAACAACAGCTACTGTTGAGCTTTATGCACTAAACAACAGACCGAGCTGTACAGTGAACAGTATTGCTTGTTAGGAATGTATGCTTAAGAATAATCAATCATCCCAGAGGTACATGGTTCGAATCCACCAGATGCTCTACTGAAGAAGGAGGGGCAATCTCCTCCTGTACTAGTCAGACCCGATTTGACAGTACGCTCAAAAAAATAATTAAAAATTTAAAAAAAACCAACAAAGAATAATCAATCAGAAGGGAGGTCTGGTGGCCAGTGGCAAGAAGCTGCACTACAATCCCAGAGGTACGTGGTTCGAATCCACCAGATTCTCTGCTGGAGAAGGAGGGGCATTCTTCTCCTCTACCAGTCAGATCCAATTTGATGGTGCACACACAAAAAATAATAAGTTAAAAAAATTTAAAAAAGAGTAATCAATCCGTGCATCCAAAACTTTACCCAACAGACTGAAAAGAAAATCTACTGATTGGGGGGTGGGGGGTGAGGGGTGGGAGAAACCCACTTGGCATACCATTTCCAGCTAGGGTCTCATATCAAAAGTTTGCAGAATCCTACAGTGCGTCCACAAGAAAAAGACAGATCACACAATTACAAAATGGCAAAACACATGGAAAGAATTTTCACAGAGGAAGATACTCGGATGGCCAACAGACACATGAAGAAATGCTCCAAATCACTGGTAACAAGAGAGACACAAATCAAAACCACAATGAGATACCATCTCTCTCCAGTAGCAGTGGCCAAGTTTAACAGGACAGCAAGTGATAAGTGTGGGAGAAGATGTGGCGAGATAGGAGCTCTTACACTGTTGATGGGACTGTAAAATGGTACAATCACTCTGGAAGGCAGTTTGACACTTCCTCAGAAACCTGAGCACAGAAATTATATATGACTGAACTATAGCACTGCTTGGAATATACCCTGAAGAAATGAGAACTGAGGCACAAATGGAGACTTACACACTCATGTTCATAGCAGAGGTATTCGTTATCACAAGAATGTGGAAACAGCCCAAATGTCCAATCACAATCGAATGGATTGAGACATAATAGTACACTTACATAGCATGTAGGAGCAATAATTTTGTAACTCACTACCTAACTTGGGAGGGACTGGAGAGCATTATGCTAAGTGAACTATCTCAGTCCCACAAGGACAAATACTGTACAAGACCATTATTGTAGAAATAGTTAATTAGTAAAATCTGTATGAGGATCTAAAGAGGAGGGTGGGAGAAGAGGGGTGAGAATGGGCCAGCATGATAATCATAGGGTCCCACAATTTGATGGGTGGAGGGAGGGGTGGGTTAAGGAAATGGGAAGGATTTAGTGTGAAAAATAATATATATGAACTTTCTAAGTAAACCAGTGTAAAAGAAAAAAATTATATTTAAAAAAGGGATTTTAAAAAAACTCACACTTCACCAAAGACGACATTCAGATGGCTAACAAGCACATGAAGAAATGCTCAAAATCCCTAGCCCTAAGAGAGATGCAAATTAAAACAACTGTGAGATATCATCTCACCCCAGTCAAAATAGCAAAATTTAACAGAACAGCAAGCAATAAATGCTGGCGAGGTTGTGGAGAAACTGGAACCCT